ATAAATATTAAAATCATATTAACCTAGTTTCACTTGAATATTAAAAAAAGTTGAATTTATGATATCAACCAAAGATGGTTAGGAAAATCATTTCATGGTAGCCATTAATTTTTTAAAAATGGAGTAATTAATAGCGTGTATATCATTGAAATTCTTAATTAAAGCAGTTATGGGTCTAGAATATGAGCTACAATAATAATAATTCCTTTTACATATATGTGCATATCTATATATACCTATATGTATGCATTATGTTTGTATAATACATGCATGTATATGTATATGTGCATTCACATATATGTATTTATATTTATTAAGGCTATTTAATCCTCATTGGGAGCATAGGCATCTATGTTTTATAAATAAGCAAGTGAGGACCTAAGAGGTTAAGGGCCTTGGCCAGGTTTACACAGTAAATTAGTGGCCTAGTTTAGACATCAAAATCCAGCTTCTCAGTCTGATGCTTTTATTCTAATATGATTTCCCTATTATGCTCCTTTCTGTGATCTCATGAGTTAAACTGTAATTTTCTCTAATATAAAAGATGAGATCTTATTCAGCCTTAATTTCCTACTTGTTTTGTATTCAATATATATATTCTATTGCCAAGCTTTGCACGTTTTCCTTTCATAAGCTTTTTTTATCTTCCTCTTTTTTGTTAGCCCACTCTTAGTGTCTCACTCATTTAACTGCATTCAAAAATCTTTATTTAGTACCAAACACATGCCAGAGGCTAACCACAAATTGTCTTAACCTTCTTGCTTATTAAACAAAACAAAATAAAATAAACCCTTTCTTCTAGAAATTTCAAGTATTGGAAACATCGGAAGTGGTTTCTTTGCCAATTTCTGCAAATTCCAATGCCATCATGAAAACATTAAGTGTTTTCTTACTGGCTGTCCTAGTGGGAGACCCGGTGCTAGAATCGTGTTCTCTAAATTTAGCCTGGCTAAATATTGGCTCTGGAAGATGCTCCTTCAAAACGAAGTGCTTCACAGATGCTGTGGTTCGAATATTTGTCCTCTCGAAAATGCAGGTTGAAATTTAGTCCCCAGTGTGGCAGTATTGAGAGGTAGGGCTTTTAAGAGGTGATTGAGTCAGAAGGGCTCTGTCCTCATGAATAGATTAATCTGTTCATGGATGAATGGATTGATGGGTTATCATGGGAGTGGGACTGGTGGTTTTATTAGAAGAAGCGAGACCTGAGCTAGCACGCTGTCCCCTCATCATAAGATGCCCTGCGCCACCTCAGGATGCTGGCGAGTGTCCCCACCCGCAAGAAGGCCCTCACCAGATGTGGCCCCTTGAGCTTGGACTTCTCGGCCTCTAAAATAGTGGGAAAGAAGCTCCTTTTTAAAAAAATAAATTACCGCCTTTCAGGTATTCTGTTATATGCAACAAAAAATGAACTAGGATAATAGACATAAATTTAGAATTGTTATATACCATAGCTCATAAGCCCATTCCAGTCTCTGTAGTACTCTTTAAGAAAATAGCTGTTTAAGTTTGCTTAATCTTCTATTTCCTAAACAAAGCAGTTGATTTAATATGTAACTTCATCAGGAAAATACTTTGGGAACACTAAAATAGATTATGACTTGAGGAATGGTGTTTTATTTTTTTTATTTCCACTGCCTAGATAGGTCTCTGGTGTATATAAAACACTTGATATTTTTAATCTCTTTTTTTTTTTGATGAATTAAGGAATATAATATGTGTTATTTATGTTTCCCTGTTTATATTGCTGTCCTTCCTCTAACATCTTGCTCCTCGTTTCCTGTTCATACACACATCTCACCTCCAACACCAACATTCTTATTTTATAGTCCTGCTAAGTCCTTCACTTACTCTTCCAGATTTTATCATCTGTTGGGAAAAATTATTTTGTTGACTCTGATCCCCAGATGCTTTTATTCCCCATTAATCAAGCGCCTCCTGGAATTCCAATTGCTTTATTTCTACCTGACTTAATCCCAAAGCGTACATAAATTCCAGCTCTTTCATAAACATCTCAGATTCAGAGCCAGGGTATCATCCCATTTCCAAATCTGCACTCTCACAGAAGTAGACCTGATACTTGTAATACTTAGCACTTTTATGTCTGTATCTACACTCAGAGCCTGTAACGTTTGGGGCCAGAGAATTATTTAATTTATTGTTATGAGAGATTGTTTTGTATATTGAGGAATGTTTAGCAGTACTCCTGTCACTAAATGCCAGTGACACACCTCCAGTTGTGATAACCAAAAATGACTCCAGAAACTGCCAGATGTCACTTGGAGAACAAAGTCTCTGCCCTCCCATCCCTGTTGAAAGCCTCTGATTTAAGGCTATAGCCATATCCATATTCATATTCATATCTGCATTTGGACTGAGAAGTAACATTGATTTATCTTGATCTACATTAGGCACCAGGTTCAATAGCATATGTTATCTGTTTTAGTTTTCATGATGATCCTCAGGGGTATTCATAGAACCAGTTTAAACATGAGGAAGACATAGCTCAGAGGCAGAAATAACTCAAAACAAAATAAACTATGGTATGCACACATTTCCCTGCACCATATTAGTCACTTGAAAACTTCTTAAGGACGGGATCCCCTCTGCTTTCACCTTACTACCTCCCACAGGACTATTAGGTAGTAGTTGTATAATAAAAATAATAGTAAGTTGGTGAATCAAAAGCAATATTCTTAGACTTACTATATGAGCTTTAAACTCTCTCTGGGCTGCAAATTTTCTAGATTTGCCTTACCTATGAGTTGCCTACCTATTTCTTAACCCTGATATATTTATATTAGGTATGTAAAATGAATATAATTGTATTGCTTAAGTGCATTATTTAATAATATAATTGCGTTAATCTTTCTGTCTGTCTTCAAGTTTTGGCATTGTAGTATAACGAAAAATGCATGAGCTTTCCGAATCAAAAGGATGTTAATTTTAAATTCTGACTCCATGCCTAACTGGCTCTGTGGCATTTACTTCAAAAACTAAACATTTCTGTGATCACTGCAAGGAATACAGAGATAAAAACAAAACCCCAACTATCTAGAGATTTATACTCTAGTAAGGGAAACAAAACTTGAAAAGAAATTAATTTAAATACCAAGATATAACATTAGAAGCACATGCAAAGTACAAAGTACAGAGATGGCACAGAGGAGGGACGATGTACCTTTATCAGGTGAAGATATGGAACACTTTCAGGACAGATTGTGCTTATGATGGGTGATAAGGAATAGACAGAGCCAGAAGATAAGCCTCTTCTACTTCCTGTGTCTCAATTTCAGTATTTATAAAATAGGGATAATTATACATCTGATGGTTATGAGTATTAAATGTGATGGGACTACAACATGTTTCACATAGTGTTGAACACAGAGTAGACACATAATAAATATTATCTCCTTTCCATTTCCTTTAAAGGACAACAGTTGCGTCATTTATAATTGTTAACAGTTAAGCTACTACAAGGCAGTAAGAGAGCTAGTGAATGACAGATTTTTGTAGATTGCAAAGGTAGTATATTTCTTCTCTTGCTCAGATACTATAAGAAAATCTTCAAATTCATTCTACGTTATCAACTCCCCAAGGAAGACGAGCAGGTTCTGCATTCCATCTCAAAATGTTGTAAGGCATTTTTATCAGACAAAGGCATCCTTCTCACAAGCCTTCCACAACTTTCTTCCTGTTCTTTAAAGTACACACAAACTATACAACTTGAACATTGTAACAGGTCTGCTTTCTGTTCCATTCAGTGAAAGTAAGTACAAGAGCAGAATAGAAAACCCTGAAAAGTAAAATCAAATCCCAAGCGCTTTACACATCTTTCTAAGCCTCTGCGGAGGATTCTAAAGATTGACTCTTCTGTTATTCAAGCTGCTTCACCAACTGCCCTGTCAGAGCTCCAGACTCGGACCCTATTCAGGATCCTTATCCCTGAATGTCTCTTGCTATCAAGATAAGTCTTCATTTCTCTTTGTAAAGTGACAGCAGAGATCTGGGAAGGTGAAGAATCTTTTCCCACCGAGCTTCAAATAACTCACTTCTAAAGCAGTTCCATAATTCTCACTGTAGCCATGAGGTTGTGAAGTCTCATTATCTCTGACCTTGGTCTTTCTCAGCTGCCATGACCCATGAAGGAAAAAAGGTCAGTGGCTGACATTCTTTCATTCAACCAACATTTACTGAGCACTTTCCTGGTGCCGGGTATGGTGCTGGGCTGCAGGGATATGCCAAAGTTCTATTCACTAAAGATCTAATAAGATGAGGCCGGACGCTGTGGCTCATGCCTGTAATCCCAGTACTTTGGGAGGCTGAGGCGGGTGGATCACCAGGTCAGGAGTTAAAGACCACCTGGCCAACATGGTGAAACCCAGTCTCTACTAAAAATACAAAAATTAGCTGCACGTGGTGGCGGACCCCTGTAATCCCAGCTACTCAGGAGGCTGAGGCAGAGAATTGCTTGAACCCGGGAGGCAGAGGTTGCAGTGAGCAGAGACTGCGCCAGTGCATTCCAGCCTGGGTGACAGAGCAAGACGCTGTCTCAAAATAGATAAATAAATAAATAAATAAAAAATAACAACAATAATAATAATAAGATGAATATAATCTGGCTTTATTCATTTCAGTAGCCTTATTCCCTTCTTTTTGGAAAGTGGGGTAGGTGAAAATATATTTTAAAAACTTTATATTTGATTAGGCATCTTTATGACTTCAAACTTTTCTTTTTTTTTTTTTTTTTTTTTCTGAGATGGAGTCACTCTGTTGCCCAGGCTGGAGTGCAGTGGCACTGTGTTGGCTCACTGCAGCCTCCATCTCCTGGGTTCAAGCAATTCTCCTGCCTCAGTCTCCTGAGTAGCTGGGATTACAGGCACCCATCACCTAAACCCAGATCATTTTTGTATTTTCAGTAGAGACAGGGTTTCACCATGTTGGTCAGGCTGATCTCCTGACCTCAGGTGATCCACCCACCTCGGCCTCCCAAACTGCTGGGATTACATGCGTGAGCCACCATGCCTGGCCACTACTTCAACCCTTAAGGTCACTCTGGGCTTCATAATATAGAATCCAGAGCAGCTTTATAATGTGGCTTCAATCTTCATGTGTAGGAATATCTTGAGCCAAAGTTCAGCATGAGGCAATTTCTATCATTAGTGAAAGGATGTGTCTATAGTTTGTTGCATTTAGCTTACCCTAGAAGCATAAACTACCCACCTGAGGAGTGAATGCACCTTGTATTTAATGATTAGTGGAGACTGTTTGCAACTTATCTTGCATCTCAAAGGGACTTTATTTTGCAAGGGTATTCAATGACTCCCGTTAGATCTGTTTTAAATACACATAAACACAAACAAGATGCTACACAGTTTATAACCATCTTTCCCCTTTACATAGTACTGAAACAGTAGTGAGTACAGTATGGTAACTGAGGGAAATTCACCAGACTAGTTGTGATAAGGGAGGATCAAGCTTAAGTTTTTTCATATCTCTTTTGAATCTGTCAGCTATTCGACTTGGGAGATTCAGAAGAGTTGTAGAAAAACTTAAGCTTGGCTTGAAATGTCAGCATTTAAGGCATCAGATGTAAGGAGTTAGGGCATCTGGAGTTTGGCCAACCTATAGAACTTGGAGATACTAAAGTAATATCTGGAAAGCCAAGCACAGGGCCTAGACTCCAGGAAAGGGGTTAACAGACTTACTATGTGCCAAGTCCACAGCAGACCAGAGTCTGAGGACCAGGGTCCTCTTTCTGTGGAGACTGGAGGGAGAACCAAGGGCCCAGACAGCAGCCAATCTAGCCCCACAATCACATCTGATAGTGGACGGATCCCTGTCACGTCCTGGGGCTCCTGAAAGTGCCCAATTTTGCTTATAAACATGCAAAGGGAGCATCTGGTTTGCGATCTGCAGGCTGTGTCTAGATGCTGTGTTTTAGTAGGAGAAAATCACCTATTTTCTACCAGGCCAGATTCTCAGTGGTCCAGGCCTAAGTCAGGGCAGAAGCAACAGAGTACATGCTATTGCTGGGGCAGGCTAAAGCCAGCATACTTTAGCATTTTATAGATGTGACGAAAGAGGCACAGAAAGCTGTGGAGCTTTCCGAGTTCATGGAACAAGGCAGAGGTCCGACTACTATTTGAAGCTTACTACCTAACTTGTTATGCAAATTTGCCTATTGTTTGTGCATACTTGTGTGCATATATTATGTGAATATACCTACTTCAGCACACAACACACATTCTTTAAATGATTCAGTGAATGAATATATGATATAAGGTAGAATTTATCCTGTTTGAATATAAAGGTATTTATTCATTCATTCAATAAAGACAGGAAAGGTACGTGCTCTCATGGAGCTTACATTCTTATGAGGGGAAGAATTAATACTCAAGATTTTATAATAGTTGAACAGGACTGTTTCAAATAATATTGAGTGTTGTGAAGACATAAGATAGAATACTGAAATAAGAATTTTGCCTTTATCTTTATACAAAGGCAACAATGACTAAATGCAGATTAATGAAGCCTGCAGGGAACTAATTCTGCCTTCTCCATGCAACAGTGTACCTACCATTTATTCCCCTTCCCTTAATCACGTTTTCTGGTTTGGTGGCCAAATCACGTACACTTTCTGTCATTTTCCTGAAATATATCAATAATGTTTAATTTGACAGAATCTGAACCAAACTTGTGGGGGAAGAGCAGGAGGGTGAGCTTTGGGGTCTGGGCCAAGCCTTACTCTTCAGAGAAGCAGGTTAACTAATGGCTGAACTATGAATTGTGCATAGTGTTCAGTAAAAATTCCCTTTTCTCAGCATCAAGAGAACAAGAAAAAACAGAATATTCTCCTCTTGGATATTTCCATAGCTCTTGACTGACCTTGTACCACGCACAGACTAGGTTTTGAAATACGTCAGAAGTTTAAATTCAGTTATCTTTATTAACTCCTTGCCCACATCAGCTTAAGCCCAATATGTCCCAGGAATAACTTGAAGGTTGTTATGTAGAAAGTTAAAAGGACTATTGAAAGCAGAAATACGATTTCTAGAAAAGGGAATCTTTTCTACAATATTCTACTTTCTTTTCTAATGATTGAAAGGACAGAGAAATTCAACTTTTAATTCTAGCTGGAGCATCCACATTGATGAGCTACTAATCTCACTGTGCCTCAGGCTTCCTATTTGTAAATAAAGAGATGCCTGGTTGTTGTCAGGCTTTAAAGTAATTTCATGTTCATGTACATTCGCATATATAAAATATATAGCACAGTGCTTGGCACATAGTATACACTAAATAATTTTTTTTTCTCCTCTGTAAGGAGTTCTGGCCTTAATTTCAAACAAGCCACAAACTGAAACCATAAAGATGGAAATAAAGAATATAAAATTTGAAAATGTGTAAATTACTGAAAGCACAAGAACCATTAATTGTCAAGGATGGTTCTCATTAAACTAGCAGCATATGTTGCTATTATAAGGATGTTTGTCACGAGCTCCTGAGAGGTCTATTAACAATAAAATCCTATTATTCCAGATGTTTCACATCCATGTAATACACCCACAATAATTAATTTCATATGGGCTAAATTCATAAATCTAGAAAACTAGAAAGATGTGTTATTCACCACATAAGGCATCTTATATCCTATTTATAATCTGACTGAAATGCTAAAAAATGCCATTAATTACAGGGAAACCCACTATCATTTTTCTTTATCTCTGGAATAGACTTTGAATTTGAAAATACTCCATTACCATTATAAAGGCAGCATCTGAGCAAACAAGGAGAAGAAGAAAGTTGCTGTCACATCTGCTGTTGCCGCTCAGGTCACTTCTCCTGGTGGCGTTATGGCTCAGGATTGCTGCTGCCACCCCTGGCTGGCCTTAGCTGGGCCCTGCTTTGTGCCAGAACTGTGCTAGGTGCTTCATGTGTATCATGACTTTTCTTCACAATATCCTCATTAGATAGTCTTCCCTTTATAAAGGTAGAGGCTCAAAGAAGTGAAATAACTGATCCAACGTCACAACTCCTAAATGATAAAGCTAGGATTTGAACTCAGATCTCTAGCACCAACATCTGACCTCTCTCCATGTTACTAAGCTGCCTCTCTAAGGTAATAATAAAAGCTTTCATTTGTTGTGTGCCTGATCCAGCCTGCCAGATAACCTGAGACAGAAAAAAGAAACACACACACACACACACACACACACACACACACACACACACACGGGATTCTCCAATATAAAGTCCGAAGGTCAACTACTGCAACTGCCACTCAATGTCAGAATACCCTTCACAGAGGCTTGACAAATAACTAAATGGTCACCCAGAGTTCATTAAACCCTGTACCTCTTGAAGGCAGAGATTCATCTTCTTTTATATTCTAGCACCTGTTGTGCGCTCTGGTATGTACAGTCAAATGTTAATTTTTTATTTTTATTTTTATTTTTTAAGATTCCAACTTTTTGAATTTTTTCCCCTTTTACACAAAACAAAGTAGAAGAAATAATAAAGGATTAAAACTGAAAAAGTTATTCTGTAGAACATGTATACACAAAAAAATGTGTATACATGTAGTAGAACATGTATACATAAAAAAATCCAGATAGGAAGACAGGCTTATTTACAATGAAAGTAAGGTAAAATTAAGGTAGTTTTCTTATGAAATATTTTTTTAAAAAATCAAATATATGCTATAATAGGCACCACTGTTTACAACAATATTAAAGACAAAAAAACAACACTTATTTAATAGGCACAGATATACCACAAGGTACAACATCGGTGCAATAAATTCACAAAACCGTATTACAGCCAGTTAATCAGTTTAAGAATTGTTCCCAAGTCAGTCACATTTTTGGCTTTCATTCCTACAGATTTCATTCCTACAGATTTCAAATACTCTAAATTTCTAGCTATCGAGAAGTTAAGAATGATTATAAGAAGCTTTCCAAGGAGTTACAAAATCTTTGTAGACCAAAGGCCAACTATCATCACCTCAAGTCTGCTCTCACCAGCAGCCCTTGTATTTTTCAGGGAGAAATCTCTAGGAAAAAGTCAGACACCAGTGTAGTCACTATCTCCCATGCCAAACCCAGGGGACTGAAATGACCAGTATTACCATAAAACGAGAATTGTGAGGTTTACCTTAAAAGGCTTATTCTTAAAAGGCTTATTCTGGTCTCAAAAATTAGTCAGATAAGATTATCTTCTACTGAAATGAATCTTGCCTAAACACAGAAGACTGGTATCCTTTACTGCTGGTCCTAAAGTCATAGACATGAATTTTAACCTACTGTATACTATAGCTAAAATCAGTTGAAAATCTGAAATTAAAAATATGCTAGAAATCCTAAATCCAATCTTTTGGAAGTCTGCTATTGAAAGGCCTTTAAGGATTTACTAACTTCAAGTCTAAGTGCAAAGGGACAAAAGCTTAAGCCTGTCGGACATTCCTTTTTTTTGGACAAAAAGATCAAAGTTTCCTACAAATTGCTAAGCTTTGCACAAGCGAGAAACCTACACATACTAGTGCATGGAATCAGTTTCATTTTATTACATGGGGATTCTTCTCCCATGGGAAAGAAACAGAATGAGGAATGAATCTTAATTGGTCTCTTCATCGCAAGTGGTAAACTTGGTCTCTATATTCACAAAGTCAGAGAGTTTTTTAAGCAGACTGTGGAAGCAGACAGTAGAACCAGCTTCCTGTAGCCACAGACCACTACCTTGTATCCAGCAAGAGCAAAGACGAACTTGAACAATTATCCAGAGTCACTTGAATCGTACTAAAGGGCAAGGTTCACCACTATAAAAAAGGAAGTTGTCTAAAAGCAAGAATTCAATTAACCCTGGGTAAGAAAAATCAAAACAAGTCATACATACTAATGAGTTGTCCATGAGGCCAACTGGTAAGAACGTACTCAAGTATACATGACATGAAGACACTATGCACAAAGCATAACTTGGCGAGCCTGCATTTCTATTAACTACGGGCAGAGTGAGGGAGAGCAAAGAGCTACTTCTGTAACATTTTAGTATCCAGATAGTACAGCAGAAACCATTCCCAGGGGCAATGGGTGCTCCATTAATCACACTGAATAAAGCAGATGAATTATTCATTTTTCTATTCTTTTTGTTTGAGAAGTTGGGTTAGCTCCCTTTTGGCCATTCCAGTGTACTTAGAAATGATTCCATGTTGGTTTAGTCCAGGAAGCAATAGTAAAGAAGTCACTATCAGGTAGGTGAGAAGCAAGTTGTGAACTTGCTGTCCCACCTAAGCAATCTCAGTTAGGGAAATGATCATGGTCATGAAGTACATCTTAGGTTTATCTTCCTTTAGTGTGAAGAGGCATTTCCACCAACCCATAGCTCTGCAGAGAGTTTTTAACTAGATTGCTGCAAATTTCATGAAATCTTTGCTGTTGTTCAGTGGTCCATTTATTGGAGCCAAAAATTCTAGGCACCAGAATGGGAACAATGTAATCAGCCAAATGGATCTAGATAGTAGATAATCAGAAACATCAAAGAAACCACACCCATGATGGCAGGTGGAAACCAGGCTGTTTCCCATGGGAGGACTTTATCAGCATCAGCATCACTTCTCCCCATCCTTGCAGCTGTTGTTCCAGACTTGCAGTCTCTGTAGCCAGCAGGTTAGTGATGTGATTATCTCCCTCTGCCATTATCTCTGAGATGCCATCTCCATGAGAGCAGGCTGCCTTCCCAGTGAACCCTCATACCGAGACCTGCATGGCGACCACAGCACCAGAGTCAATGTTCATCGAACGGCAATTTATCACATGACAAAAACACACGAATTTGGGCTATAGAAGAATAGTCATTCAGCAGGTGAGATTTCAAGTTTATGATGTTGAGGATTAAATGTGGGTAAATATAATATCTAGAAGAAATTATATACTGTTTTCAAACTTGAGACTGGAACCTACTGAAACAGCAATGTTATCACATAAATGTGGCAGGATGAGCCACAGACAAGAACCCCTCAGACATCAAGTTGTAGAAGGAAAAGTCTTTATTCAGCTGGGAGTATAGGCAGACTCACATCTCCAAAACCAAGCACACCGAGTGAGCAATTCCTGTCCCTTTTAAGGGTTCACAACTCTAAGGAGGTCTGTGTGAGAGGGTCATGATCGATTGAACAAGCAGGGAGTACATGACTGGGGGCTGCACACATCAGTAATTAGAACGGAACAGAACAGGACAGGGGGTTTCCCAATGCTTTTCCATACAATGTCTGCAATCTATAGATAACATAACCAGTTAGGTCAGGGGTCGATCTTTAACCAGGCCCAGGGCGTGGCGCCAGGCTGTCTGCTTGTGGATTTCATTTCTGCCTTTTAGTTTTTACTTCTTCTTTCTCTAGAGGCAGAAATTGGGCATAAGACCATATGAGGGGTGGTATCCTCCCTTAAAAATAATAGCTATGTTAATAATTAACATTTATTGAGCACTAGCTGTGTGTCAATCACTATACCAAGAACTTTAAATTATAAACACAACTAATCCTCATAACAACTCTATGAGATGCATAGTACTATCTCTGAACTCAAGGAATGTAAATAAAAGAGGTCATACAGCTAGCAAGATATAGAGCCAGGATTCAAACAAAGGCTGTCTAGCCCCAGAGCCTGCCGGCAACCACCATACTAAACACTCCTTGGGAACTCAAGCTAAGCTAATGGGATACCATGGAATTGTAGGTTATTTTATCTATTTATAGTTTTCCTATTAGATGTTTTTACACCATGAGAAAATTAGCTGGAAAGCTAAACGGTTTTTGTTTGTTTGTTTGTTTACCTGGCTGTAGAAATCAGGAAAAGTCAGGATGAAAAAGACATGCTCTAACAAGTTGGAGGAGCTAGATACCAAACTGCTAGAACATGTGACATGTGCTATCACCTTTCATCTTCTCTTGCACTACGGTTGGTGCCAGTGTGATGTAGTGGTTCAGAGCTCTGGCTTTCAACTCAAATGGAGCCAAGTTCAAGTCCAGGTCTGATGCTTACTAGCCGAGTGATCTGGACAGGGCAAAGACCTTCAAATCCTTCACATATAAAATGTGCCTAGTTATAATATCTCTTTACATCAGGAGACACTAGAAAATTTAAACAAGATAATACATGCAAATTTTAGTACAATGCCTGGAATATATCGAAATGTGCATATAAGTATTATTGCTATTAGTTCCTCTTTTACAGATGTAAAATAAGAAGGTCTAAGATATCAACCAGATGCTGAATAAAGTTTGTGTGCTTATAAGCCCAGCACTTTGGGAGTCTGAGGCGGGTAAATCACCTGAAGTTAGGAGTTTGAGACCAGCCTGACCAACATGGAGAAACCCTGTCTCTACTAAAAATACCAGACTTTCTAAAGGTGGTGGTGCATGCCTGTAACCCCAGCTACTTGGGAGGCTGAGGCAGGAGAATCGCTTGAACCCAGGAGGCAGAGGTTGTAATGAACTGAGATCACACCATTGCACTGAAGCCTGGACAACAAGAGTGAAACTCCATCTCAAAAAAAAAAAAAGTAGAAAGCCACAAGCTCTCCTTTGTCTTGTTTGCAAGCAATAGCAGCAAAGAGAGAATTCCCACTCTTCTAGCAGTTTCAGAAAAACAGCCATTTTGTGATGTTACAAAGCATAAGCCCTCCCTCTCCCTGTGGTCCTATGTTCAGTACCAGCACTAACCATTTGTGTGCTCTAGGTGGGGTTGCCTTCTGCTCCACCACCAGCCAGGATTAAAGAGTGTCACAAATAGCAGGAATCTATTCCTCCAAACTTCATGTTATATAACAGAAAGTCAACTGAATAAAATAAAGTAAGCAAATAATCAACGAGCCCATATTGTTCTTTCAGGTTGATAACATTTTGCCAAAACATGCCTTCTAGTAGCTATCATTATTAAGACTTTCACTTATATGACTTTACACATGTTGCTTAAGGCTTTTCATGTGTATTACATGATGTTTTGATTTTCACTATCATCCTGTTGGTTGAGTTGCTGGGATATCAGCATTTCTCTTTTGTGATGTGGAAACTGGGACTTGAATCATCTGCATGAATTGATCCAAATCCCGTAATCACAAGGCCAGAGAAAGAATTTTATGAAATCTTGTTTCTTACTTAAAACTCTGCCACCAGGTCTTACTGCTCTCAGAGTGAAATCCGATCTCCTTTCCATGAATACCTGTATGGCCTGGCTCATGCAAACTTGTCTAATCTCATTTCAGGCAGTTTTTTTCTTTCTTTTTTGGAGACACAGTCTCACTCTGTTACCCAGGCTAGAGTGCAGTGGTGCCATCTCGGCTAACTGCAACCTCCACCTCCTGGGTTCAAGCGATTCTCGTCCCTCAGTCTCCCAAGTAGCTGGGATTACAGGCACCCGTTACCACACCTAGATAATTTTTAAAATACTTTTAGTAGAGATGGGGTTTCACCAGTTTGGCCAGGCTGATTTAGAACTCCTCACCTCAAGTGGTCCACCTGCCTCAGCCTCCCAAAGTGCTGGGATTACAGGTGTGAGCTACCATGCCCTGCCCTCTATCTGTTACTCATTATGCTCCCACAACATGGACTTTCCATTAAAGGAAGGTTCTCAGCTGTTTCCTGCATCGGGCCCTGTATGTGGTCTAAGGACAGAGAGGCATCCAATCAGCAGAGCACCGGGCAGAACACACCTGGGAGGTACATCTGCAGGTAGTGGGGCATGGGTTCCATGCCTCTCAGGAGATTCTGCTCCAGAATTCTAAGAGACTTCTTTAGATTCAAAACTTGGTGTCATTGGGGAATACTAAGCTGATCATCATCTAAGAGGTAAACACAGAACAATAAAACTTGATGAGGATTTTATTTGATAATCGTGGTGCAAATATTGAGGGATGGCAACTAACATGATTCAGCATTTGCTACATGATGTCTTCTTAATTTTATACAAGGATTATCATAGACGAAAATAGATTTGGTGCGATAAAAATACCTCTTCCAAGGATACACAGTTTTTAAGTGCAAGTTGGTATTGAAACCTAAGTTTATTTGGTTCTACTACACATGACATTTGCCCTCTGACAAGATGACTTGATACTATGTTAAAAGAATTACTCAACTAGGGCTATTTTAATTTCCTCACAAAGGACAAGATTGGTTCAAGATACAGGAATGGTGCTAATTTTGAAAGGAGACTTGGCAGGCTCTGTGTCTGGAGAACAAAGCTGAGAGGACTGGGAGCGAGAAGGGCCCTGACAGGAAATTAGTTTGGAGAATACATTACTTATGAGATAAAATCATGGAAAAATGGCATTTGAGTTAAGTTGCATAACTCTACTGGCTCTAACTTATTATACATTAACAAAAGACATTTAATAAAAGCTTTACCTCTCTTTGATTCAACTGTTTCAATCATTGAAAACAAACAGCACAATTAAATCACATCTTAAAGACTTGTCATCCCAAGATAATTCATGATGGATTTTCAAAGGTTTTATGCTAAGAGAATCTTCCCAAGAAATGTATATGGATAAAATATTCTGAAAAACAATGTGGAATAGATAATGTCTGGGCTTCAGAATCAAGAGATCTCTGTAAAGACTCATCTCATACATTTGCTAAGTAATCATAGAACATTTCACAATCTAATTTTTATTGTACTAACTGGCAAACTGGCAAATGGGTGAAATCTTAATATATATTCACAGAGCTACTGTTAAATACATTTAAATGTTTTATATCAAAATGTTGATATTTGGCTGCTGATGCGTATTATAAAATGAATAAATGAATGAATGAGCATATGAGTACTTTGAGATTATTTAAAATAATCTTACCAATGTATACTTATTGGTGTTTTTTTTTTTTTTTTTGCTGGAGTGCAGTGGTATGATCTCAGCTCACTGCAACCTCTGGCTCCCGGGTTCAAGTGATTTTCCTACCTCAGCCTCCCGAGTGGCTGGGACTACAGGCGTACACCACCACGCCTGGCTAATTTTTGTATTTTTAGTAGAGACGGTGTTTTGCCATGTTGGCCAGGCTGGTCTCAAACTCCTGATCTCAGGTGATCCGCCTGCCCTGGACTCCAAAAGTGCTGGGATTATAGGCATGAGTCACTGCATCCAGCAGTGTTTTTATTTCAGAACTAATTAATTTATTACTCACATTAATTCTAATTGTACTTCAATTTGCTAGAGCATAGATCACTATTGTTTAGTACTAATGGTCTTTTAAAATTACTAGGAAACAACAACATACTAATAAACATATGCTCACAAAATCTATCACCTGTCCTTATTTAATCTTTTTTAGTAGACACCAGTATGGTTTAAATCACCAAAACTTTTATTTTATAGTTTTATCATACAAAACAAATTATCTTTTGCCTCATTTTTTTTTTCTTTTGGAACCAACTCAAGTTTCTATTATCTTCATGATGTCTTTGGAAATGTAAAAACTTTATTTATATGTTAACTGATTTTTAAGATATCATAAAATTGTATTTCTCACTTTGCCCACATCAAATGAGATATTTTGCTTGATTGACTCAATGATTTTTTTTAAATGGCCTTTTGAATTAAAAAGCAGTCAAAGACTGAACGTGATTTTCCCAGTCTGTGACTCAGGTTCCCAAGCTGAATCTGATGATACCCAGTAACAATAAAGTCTTATGCTATAGAGTAAATATCTATAATGTGAGTGTGTTGTGGGTTTGTTTGTGGATGGGATCACAAGTATCTAGAACATGAGTCAATATTTCCCATCTCTGGCACACAGAACAGACATTGCTGGTCAATTGCCAGTATTCCCCTAACTCTACCTTTCAACTTCTTGACACAAAACTTGGATTATAAATTTGTCATCACTACCTTATGAAATAAAACATACCTGTATCTACCCAATAGGCTTATAGCTATAATACTTTATACTAGAGGAAAAGAGAAAGAATTATAAGTGGATGATGCAATTATTCTGGAACAACTGGATACCTAGATTGATGATAAAGAGAATTAGCCAATGTTACTGATATAAAAGGCCATCATTATTTAACCAAAGAGCTTAATTTTGCATGAGGACCTGGTGGTAGTTTTAGAATGAATGCCTAGAATCCTTGCCTTCCAGACAGCCCTTCTTAAACTATGTCCACATGAGAATACACATACCTTGAATATATATTAT